GGCCATGCCAGACCCCAGAGTGGAATGAAGCCACTCACAGAGCGCATGAGGAAGAGCGGCACCTGGCTGCAGGCTACAGCAGCCACCACGCGTGACTGTGGCGTGAACCCGGAAGCAGCAGACTCGACCTTCAGCCTCCTGGCCACCTGCTCCTTCTATGACCATGCGCTCCACCTCTGGGAGTGGGAGGGGAACGGAGCTTGAAATCATGAAGCCCCTTCCCATAAGGAAACCAGGAGGGAGACTGAGTGAATGCCCCGGACCACCTCATCGGAGATGCTTACTGCAGCCCTGCAGGCGCCTGTGCACTGATGGAATCCACAGTGTAGTCAGAAAAGCTGTTGACTTCTCTTAAATCAACTTCCCTGCTAGGCCCCTGAAAATGGACTGGGTGATTCTCTCTGGCAGACAGTGGGGAAGAGACTCAGTTCCCAGCTTGCAGATTTGTTAAGTTTTTCAGGTAGATTTTGACTTTCAGCCTTTCATACTTGTTTAAGCAACTATTTATATTAAATGAAGTTTTTTGAAAAACATGACTTTATAACATGTTTAAAATGAACATTTAATGCCTCATCATGGCACCAGAGGTGCTCGTATAGATTTAGCACAGCCAGTCCAAAAATGCGAAATCCCAAAACTTTTGGAAAATCCCACAGCTGAACTCGTGATGAGTTGCATATATTATTAAAAATACTGAGCACAGGCACAGTGGCCTGTAATCCCAACACTTTGGGAGGGGCTGAGGCAGGAGGGTTGCTTGAGGCCTGGAGTTCAAGACCAGCCTGGGTAACATAGCAAAACCCAGTCTCTATAAAAAGTAAAAAAAAAGTTAGCCAGGTGTGGTGCACGTGCCTATGGCCCCAGCCACTTGGGAGGCTGAGGCAGGAGGATTGTTGGGCCCAGGACGTTGAGGCTGCAGTGAGCGAGGGGCAACAGAGCAAGACTCATCTCTAAAAAATAAATAAATAATAAAAATACTGTGTAAACAATGACAACCAGTTACAGATTTGTTCCTTCTCTCATAGCTTCACTTGACTAGCCTAAAAAACATACATATTGTATAAAACTACCGTCAGGCCGAGCGCGGTGGCTCAAGCCTGTAATCCCAGCACTTTGGGAGGCTGAGACGGGCGGATCACGAGCTTAGGAGATCGAGACCATCCTGGCTAACACGGTGAAACCCCGTTTCTACTAAAAAATACAAAAAACTAGCCGGGCGAGGTGGCGGGCGCCTGTAGTC